GTGCGTTGGGAACATGTCATAGACAACAATGGTCATTACTTTGTAGATTGAAATTGCAATTCAATGAAGTTAGAAAATTTTGACAAATGTGCGCAGAGTGTTGCAAGACTTTCTTTCCAACCCAATATAAGAAGAACCCAGTGCTGGACCACCCACCTTATTCGCCGGATAAGGTGGGTGCGACTTTTACCTGTTTCCTAAGGTAAAATCCGCATTGAAGGGGACCCATTTCCAAACTGTGGGCGAGGTCAAGGATAAAACGGGAACGCTACTGAAGGGGTTGACACATGATGACCTGCATAATTTTTTCGAACAATGGAAAATTCGTCTCCAACGATGTATAGATAGGGAAGGGGAGTATGTTGAAGGGGATACCAATTAGGTTGTAATATTATAATAATGAACATACTTTTTGCAACCAGTCTAATTATTTAATAGCCACACCTCGTGTGCCCTGAGGACACATTTTTTCACATTTTTTTATTTCCGTCAAAGGGAAATACATGAATGACGAAAAATGAGTTTGAACGGGGTTAGTGAGATGTTCTTCAAAGAAAATTTTCACTTTTGAGATGTATTCCCTAGGGGGGACTTTCCTGGGGGACGTTTTAAAAATAAATTCGCTTCAGAGAAATACATTTTTTTAAAGACTGGGATAAACGCATTCAAAGAAAATCTTCCCTTTGTCGAATCCACCCTCAGGGGGATATGTTTTATTAGTAGTTGTAAAAGGTTCTTGGATTGTTTGCCACCATACTAGAGGTTATTTATTTATGAGGGAGAATGAGTAAACTCAACAAAGAAGAAAGCTAGTTCTCATAGTCTTGCTATAGAAGGCGCTGTATTGAAGATGAACTTAAAAGTGACAGTTCTGGGACAATGGAACATCTCTGTTTTAGGAGTTTTACTCAATTTGTAAGTGTGAGAATCGAAAAGGGATGTTTATTATTATTATTAAATNGGAACATCTCTGTTTTAGGAGTTTTACTCAATTTGTAAGTGTGAGAATCGAAAAGGGATGTTTATTATTATTATTAAATGTATTATTATTCATATTATATGGAGCGAACCGCACCGAAGGTATGTTCATAGCGAGTCTATAGTATATAGTCTATAGTCTAGCTAGCGAGTTTGTTTAGAATATTCTCTCTTAAGACTAGACCAATCTCTCTCAAACGACGGATTTTTGCATTATTTTACAGACGGTATCCTTCGGAAAGAAAATTTATATTCTGGGTATTCTATGCATTTGCATCTATAAACGCGGTTGCGACACCGCGTCTTATTGCCTGTTCGAGTGCCAGAGTTAATGAGGCCTGCTGTGAACAATTCCAGTTCGTGGAGGATTTAGAAAAATTTATGATCGACCATTATTAAGGGAGTTGTAGAAGTTAGGCATTAAGCCGAATTCCACGGATTCCGCACGACAATTCACAAGAAATTCATCGGAGCAACCATCAGTCGCAGGTTGATCAGCAAAATCGGCACTAATGTTGACAAGACAAGTAACGAATCTTCCCCGATCTGGAAAACCCTAAGACCAGAATAGCCGACACAGTGGTGCAAGTATGTTTTTGACTGATTATGTGTTGATATGACCACACAGAATAGAAACGTCTAGTCCAAAAGATACCACCGGATAAATCATGCAATTATCCTCCATTTGAAGAACCCCTTGAATAAGTAATTCCTACGGAATCGTCTCGTCTTTCGAATGGTGAAAATTGCATTTCGACGAGATCCAGCCGTTCAGCTGTCCGAAGCAGAATGATAACGTGGACATGATATCAATATTGTTTGCAAATCGTGTAAATTTATTGCGATTGCCATGAGAATGACATAATGTTAAAGTAAAATTTACGTCCCTATATTTACGTCACTAAAGTGTACGTGTATTTCGCAGAAACTTGACGTCACTTCATCTTATATGAAGCACATGCTCTCATGTTTATGCAAAAATTAACACCACGCCATCAATTATGAAACTTTAGCTGACCATTTCGAAGTCACAGTACCAAGATTCTTCGCTAGATGGAACTCTTGTTGCTTTCTACAAATGCTACAAAAGTACTGGCTTTCCTTATATATCTGATAGTATCAAGTTTTATGACCATCCTAACACTTTTATTATGCAATCCATGAATATGCATATGGAAAACAAGGAATTATTATATATAATATATGACTCAAGGAATCATTAGATGCTAAAGTTAAGCTTTTTATCACAACAGTGCATGGGATTAGGGAGGCGTAGAATACCAACTTCACAGGTTCTATACCACCTCTATCCTAATGTAAGAGGGCTCCTCTAAACATCTACTCCTCCTCCCTAGGTTCTGTTACTGGAGGGGGAAGCAGTAGGTCATCTTGGTACTCTTGAGCACTGGTGAAGATGAATATTTGTGTACTCGTCCAACTACTCTAGAGTTCTAAAGTATGCAAAGAAATAGGAGAATTACTGTGCATCAATTCCCTTCAAAGGTATTGATTTGCTCGTTAAATACGCATGAATGTTAGGGGAAAGTTCACATAAACCTTACATGAAGTGGATGAAAACATGCTGTTGGGAATATAACTGGGAATGTTAATTTCATGCAAAATTTACTTGAAGGTTATATAACGTTTTGTGTGATAATAATAAAAAGAACTCCCACCGGTCTCCTCCCTTGGACTCCAGGAGTATGCCGAACGGAGATACACGTCACGTACCCATGCCGCCTCGGTTTCATGGAGCAGTTTGACCTTTGCGTCCGGGACTATGCTTCTCTTTCCTTCGGTATAGATTCTCGATGAAAAGAAATTGTCCAGAAATTGCATGAATTTCTTTATCCGGTCCTACCACGATAAAACGCACGAATAAATCGCTGACCTAATTTGTAGGCAAGCTATGCCATTTCGAATCGAAAGGAAATGAATATTAATTTTAGGGGATCTGATGATGATCGTGGAATACTGCCCCTTCGGGAGTCTGCAGAAGTATCTGAGGGCAAATGAATCGCACTTCATCGATCAGAGAAACCCTCCCATCAAAACGCTCAACGACAACACCTGGAGACAGCGGCATCACACCTATGATTCTGAAGATGCTAAACTCAAAGCTAAGAGAGAGGGAATACAAGGGTGAGCGTTTCCTTCATGGTTTTTATTCTCCGTTTCACGAAGACCTTTCCAGCTAACGACTTTTTGTCGTGTAAGCAGCGAATGGGTTCTGAAATATGCACCCCCAGCAACTGGCTATGGAGGAACCGATGGTGTACTCCAGAAGGATTCTGTTGCCTTTGACTCCGGAATTCTGCCGTCTTCATGTCGTATGATCAAATTCCTCAGCTAGGCATTATTAATTGGCACTACTTCTTTCGTTTCATGTATCTGCCAGAAAATCCTGCCATTGTACAATTCATGACATCGTGCACCGTAAATCGTAGACTTATAACCACCCGAGATTCTGGATCTTGGAATCGGTATCAGCAGTATCTGCATTTTCAATTGCAATTTTCAATAGGAAGTGCCCAAATATCGGTACTCGCCATTAATCATTTTGATTTCAGGAAGTGAGAGTGATTCAAAAAAGCCTGCGCTGAAGGGCAACACCAGTCATAAGTCCTTAGAAGGATGCGATCGCTCAAGACAATTCACGACTAGCAGCCTCGTCTCTTGGGTCTACCAGATAGCTAAAGGCATGGAATACTTGGGTTCCCGAAAGGTGGGCCTCTCCGATCACATTCTCAATGGTCACTTCCAGCGAAAAGGAATAGAAAACTCGCAAGCTCCGTCAAGTAATCTCTCGTCTTTCAAGGGCTTCATGCAATGACGAGATTGAACAAAAAGAAATGACCGTCTAAATACGAATGACATAACTCCACTGATGGTTGAATTTTTTACGAGATCCGAATTTGAAATTTGAAAAACATTTGAAAGTCAAGAGGGAAGGGATGAACAAATTCTTATCGAGTATCTCATCCAGTTCTTACCCTCAACATCTGTTCACACCATGCTCCAGCTCGCCCCCCATTGCCTAACATTTTGATGTCAAGAATTCAATTTTTAATCCTGACAATCATATTTAAAATGGACCTAGCCAATGTCTAAGCATCAATATCAATTACAATTCATTAAATGCATTTTTGTTATTGTCGGAAATAAAGAATTTAACCTAATGTATGGAATTCAGAAACCAACCAATTATCTTTATGATTTCATTGCTGTCGAAGGTGGTCCATAGGGACCTGGCCACGAGAAACATTCTACTTGCAGAAGAAAACATCGTGAAAATTTGCGACTTTGGCCTTGCCAGAGACATTTATAAGGACAGTCAGTACATCAAGAAGGAGGATGTGAGTTTCATATCTGCTTTTCACGGTTCGAATTATCCATTACTCGTTTACTTTTCACTAACGGACGGAATTCGAATATTCCAGGGTCCATTGCCGATAAAATGGATGGCCTTGGAGTCCCTCACACAGGACATGGTTTACACGAGCAAATCGGATGTTTGGGCGTATGGAATTACACTCTGGGAAATGTTCAGCCTTGGGAAGACACCATATCCTGGAATGAACGGCGCAGAGCTCGTCCGGCTTCTCCAGACGGGCTACCGCATGGAGGCACCTCGGTTCGCCGATCATCATATGTGAGTCTTTGGGAAATGTTCAGCCTTGGGAAGACACCATATCCTGGAATGAACGGCGCAGAGCTCGTCCGGCTTCTCCAGACGGGCTACCGCATGGAGGCACCTCGGTTCGCCGATCATCATATGTGAGACATTCTTTACCGGTCGTAGTTTTTAACTTTGAACATGATGTTCATCGGAGATTCATACCGGTAATCTTTTTGTGGTTAAACAGCTACCAAATAATGACGAGGTGTTGGGATGAAGATCCAAAAAATCGGCCGACCTTCACCGCGTTGAGCGCATGGTTTGGGGAAATGATGCATGAGTCTGAGCGTTTGGTGAGAATCTATTCCATGCCCTTTCGATCTAATGTTGGGTGATTCCACGTCTGTCAGCACACACTTTTCCCCAACCACCTTCAATTTCTATGAAATTCGGCATGCTGATAGTACCTAATGGGAAAACAAACTACAGCAAATTTCAGCTCCATGCATTTCGCATTGTGAGAATGATAGCTATTCAAAAATTCCACGATTTTGGGGCACTTTGGACCCAAGGATCACAAAAATTGCCACAACTCCGATGGTAATGATGATAAATACGTGAATATGATATCGTTGGATATATTATAAAGTAGCCCTATTTTATGAGAAAATCATTTAATGTTACAATATTGCTGCTATAGATATTAACTTCGTCTTCTGGCTAAGGGAAGAATTAGACCCTCACGTAGATATGCTTTGGGAACGTTATGACGCAGCAGTAGCAGGTACTGATAAATTAAATGATTTTCTCCGTTGTCCAACCGACCATGCAAGTACTCGTGAAAGGACGTTCATTTGCGAAAATGGGAAGGAAGTTAAAGTTCCGGAGGCGTAAGTCATGGTACATACTCTGTGAACTGATATACCCCAAATTCGAAACGATTAGAACAGATTAGGGGAGCGGCACCATTTCGCGAACAGGGATTCAGTTAGCGAATGAGGGTCATGAAATGCGATTTGGTCTTTTGTTTCTCGAGTTACACGCTCCAGCTTTTGCTATCTGCAGAAAATGGATTGATTGTTTAATTAATGCTTGGGATGGAGATTGAAACTAGAGTAACAAAAGGCCAAATCGCATTTCATAACCCTCGTTAGCTAACTGGCTCCCTATTCGCGAACTTGTGCCGTTCCCCTATTGGTGAAAAGTGACGCGCATGTACGAGCCCATGCCTCGGATATTCTGCAATACCGGCGCATGTTATGAAGGTCACATACCAAAATGCTCATATCTACGTTGATAATCATTTTTTTCCTTCAAAATTCTCAGTGTACATTAATGAAGTCATGATTGATGATGTTCTAGAATTTCAGGGAAATCGATTGCGAGAATTTAGGTCAGGGGTAGGTCAAATTTCAATGTCATTACAATACATGCAGGCAAAGGTCATTAAATTCTTCACCATGTGTTTCACATCACATGATGGGGATCTTTATAATCTATCCAACGATATATATATCAATATATATAGTTGATATATATGTCGATATATATCATATCTATATATATCGACAATATTGCTGCTATAGATATATATAAATATAGCAGCAATATTGTCAACATAAAATGATTTTCTCATAAAATAGGGCTACTTTATAATATATCCAACGATATAATATTCACGTATTTATCATCATTACCATCGTAGTTGTGGCAATTTTTGTGATCCTTGGGTCCAAAGTGCCCCAAAATCGTGGAATTTTTGAATAGCTATCATTCTCACAATGCAAAATGCATGGAGCTGAAATTTGCTGTAGTTTGTTTTCCCATTAGGTACTATCAGCATGCCGAATTTCATAGAAATCGAAGGCGGTCGAGGCAAAAAGTGTGCGGATTGACATGGAATCACGCTATTTTAAACCCCGATTTCAGCAACTTCTCAGTCATGTTTTCTGACAGCACTACATGGAAAAGAACGAGTCGTTCGAGAAAAAGAACGCAGAATACTTCCGTACCAAGACGGACTACCTAAAAATGATGGCAACGGATACTGACGATGGTTACCTGTTACCGTTGAGGAAAAAGTCGGAAAATGAAGATATTTCAACAGCAGCCGAATATGTGGAATCTGAGAATTTTCAACCAAATATGGATTATCTACCGAAGATGACAACCAAAGCACAAGTAGATCACCTTCAGGCAAGACGAGAACCAAAAGTGCTAAAAGATAATTCTATGGCATATGTAAACCTCAAGGACGACGCATTCTCCAGGAACGAGAAAAATCGTCACATTGGATCCGAGCAAAATGAGAATGAAATATGCGGAGATGACTGTAGCTTTGAATATGAAAAAAAGCCAAGTAATGTCGAAGCGCCACTGGATTGTACGGTTGACGAGCGGAAACAGATAGTCTCAAATGTCTAGGAAAAAAGGTGAAACAAACCAGTGAGCATGCAATTGCACTCATTTCTCTTTCTCTTTAAATCATGAAGCAGGGTCGAATGTGTGAATGGTCCTCGGTAGAAAATTACACCTCAGTCGTTCTTTCTTCCACCTGGTGATGACCAGAAGCAGTTCGGAGTATTCAGTTATAAATATATTTCGGAGCTTGAATATCAGCTGACGTGGCACTGAATTTTATTATTATTATTAGAAAATGCTAGAGAAAGGACATTCGATATTCCTTCTCGTGGAGCAAAAAACAATTTAGAATCTCATAGATGGAGAAGTAAACGTTGATACGTTGCATATATTCTTCCAAGTGGTTTTGCTTACATTGCAAAGTATTAAAAATGGACGATCGCATCCAAGAAGGAAAAGCGTGGCCCTTGTCCCATCGACATTTAGGAAATACATAAGCATTCTCGGCAGTCTAACAAACTCCTTTCTTCTTTCAACTTTTAACCAGAACAAGAACAGGTCAGTTCAAAAGTAGACATCGATTCATCGACTTTAACATCCACTGACTTACTCAACTTCTTGAATTATGCCAAACACAAGTATTGATAGAAACCTATTCCAATCGCTCGGTACTACACCGATAATTTTGCAGCCTTATCGGGCAACGTGTATCAACTCAAAGAAGTCAAAACAAAAAAATAAATTTAAAAATGCAAGAAATATATTTTTACAGTCTATGAAAAACCGAACCGTAAACACATTCGAATCCTCGATTGCTAAAGTCTCCTTCAGCAATCGGGGATTCGAAGCCCTTGACCATTGCCCTCAAATATACTTACAATCTTCATGCTCTATCAGAAAACATCACACAATTAGCTGAAGTCTCTACCTATGAAAAACTCAGCAATCGCCTCACATCAATTTCTGAAATAACTAAAGCGTGCAAGTGCATGGGTTCCCAGAATGTCCGAATGTTGATACTGTTTTCAATTTTTTTCTCCTTTTGCTCCCTCTACCATTAACATTTGCAATTATGAGGGTAAACTCTTTGAATGTGAGAGGGATTGAATCACGGGATAGATTCCAGCCAATATTTACCGTGCTCCGCTTTTATAATGCTCACATTTTCCTCCTTCGGAAGTATCCGATTCTGGTAGACTTTTGATGCTTATTTCCAAATTGAAGAAGGTTCCAGTCCGTGCGTATCCACACGGTCTGGAGTTGCAATTGCCTTTTATAAGTCAACCTCTCTTCATTTTTTATTTTTTTATCTGAATTAATTCAAGGATACTTGCGTGTTTATTTTGTTTGGAAGAATAAAGCGCTGCTTTGTTACGATGTTCATGTCCAACAAATATCCTTTTATAAGTCAACCTCTCTTCATTTTTTATTTTTTTATCTGAATTAATTCAAGGATACTTGCGTGTTTATTTTGTTTGGAAGAATAAAGCGCTGCTTTGTTACGATGTTCATGTCCAACAAATATAGATAAATCACCTCCCTACTGAAACAAACCCCATGAGAATCTCACAAGCAAACCTCATGAGATTCCTATGAGGTTTTCAGATACAGGTCTTATGAGAATAACCTCGTGAGGTTGATTTTCTGCGGTTTTCGCCTGGAGCCACTTGCCTCGTTGTGGTCCCTTAGCCATGAAAGGTCTCATTGGACTAACCGTTACGCTCGAGTCCGACGAGGGGAAAAAAAGCGCTCTATAGTACGTCCCGTGGTGGGAGTCTTTCGTGATCGGGAGAGGGTAGAGTTCGCTTTTTTCCGGCTGTTGCGATTAGGCAGATCTATGCTCGAGAACGTAACATTGGACCCATATTCATGATTTTAAAAAGTCTCGGAATGACTCAATGAGGTTTATTGGTTCCTCTGAGAACTTATTGTGCCTGCAGTGGGGTGGCTGTTTTCCTGCAAATTAATATTTAGAGTAAAGTTCGGTCTAAAAATCGAGAGAAATCCCATAGGAGTGAGTGGTGACTAGACTCCATTAGCCCAACAATATGGCTTCCAATTGCAGCACGCATCCCTATATCGTTCCTATGGGTGCGCCATCTCCATTTATTTCTTAGCTGAAAGGCTCTCCCATAGAGTTCTCCCATCATTAACAGATACAGGCACGGTCCATTTACGATTGGAAACGTTTGCGGCGGGTTGCGATGTGAGTAGCGTGAGACCGTCAATAAAAGCCCAAATATAATACTACATTGTTTTACCACATTGCCCTTCGAGGCGACGATATAAGGTAACGCTTTGATCTGTTACGGGCATGGGGCGTTAGATGTATGAAAATAGTCAAATATTAAGTTAAAATCGAACCTTTAACTTAGCAACGCACCCCGATTCCACTACAATGAATTCCTTTTTCAGGAAACCAGATCCAGGCCAATTTATATTCGAGCAGGGGTAACTAGAACGTAATTCAAGAAAACAAAAAAAAAGGTATTTCCAAAAAAGGAAAATATTTTTAAAAAATACAATAGAAAACGTTACTGGAACGTTATTTCAAAACGCCCTCAAAATAAAAACCAATGACACAATACAATATCATGATTACTTTTCTCCATTGAAAATCAATACAAGAAAAACAACCGATTCAACCCCTTTTAATTACTTTCCAATTACAATGGACTGGAATTCACTTCCATAAGAAGTCTAACAAATTTATAGGGAAAACTCACGACCTTCAAAAAGATCCTCTAGCTACAACGTTTTCCCTCTGTATGTTGTTGAGAAAGAAAGGTGGCCAGTCT